CCCCCAGGTCTGTCATGTCCGCCGCCAGAGGAAAGACGTCTCTCAATGCCAGAGATTTGTGAAAAGGAAAGGAAATGTTTATTTAATGCTATACAAACTTAAAGTAGTGACCTAATGTCTTTATCAAAAACCTCAAAGTCCCTTAAAAGACCTACAAACAGACACAGTCCTTCCTTCCTTCCCCCTTTGCCCAGTCCAGAGTACCGTATCTTAGGAAAGGAAATAGAAGTCCATGGCTCAGGCAGTCCTCTGGTTCTTCCCAGTTAGTACTCCATCTCGACTGGGAGACCTCCCTGGGTTCCCAGCACCCTCAGCTGAGTCGCCAGGATCTCTGTTAAAACCAGGTGGTGGTTCCCCCTTCTAAAGCTGCGGGGGTCCCCACTCTGGCAAAGGCACGTGGTCCTCTCTCCCAGGGCCACGGGAGTCCCCACTCTGCCAAAGCCGCGTGGTTCTCTCTCTCCAATAGCTGTGATCTCTGAACTTCTACAGCCGCATGGTTCTCCCTTAATGGCTGCTGCATCTCGGTTTAAATCCCCGCGCCAATCTTCCTCTGCAGCCCCATTTCCGACTCCTCCCACACTCGGCTTCACATGCCAGAACTCATATCCTTCCAGCTTTATTGGACTGCCATCATGAGTCTGGGCAGGTGTGGCCCCAAGTCCTGGAGCCAATCATCTCCAAGCTCCCACGCAGGTGCTGTAGCTCGGGGGACCTGCCCCTAGTCACATCTTGGTGGGGAAGTTACTTCCATTCCCCTGGCTCAGAGCATGGCCACAGCTATTTAACATATCTAAGCGACCAGCCAAAGGCTATAGATATGTTAAATGACCACGCCAGAGGTTAGCTGCAAGGCTGTTGCTATGCTAAACAGCTCTCAAAGGCCCTGTTCCATTGTGTCCCTTCCCCCAACCCACACCCTGGTGGGGGGCAGTGAGGACATCTTAAAATCTCCTGGACACCTTGAGTTCTGGACCCCATTTCAAATGCCCATTTGGGGTCCCTCCTCTTGGCTGCACCCTGTAACAGTCCTGGGGGGAGGTCATGTAGCTTCCATGTACTCCTCCACCATCTTGGATCTTAGACTTGACAGACATTTTTCTTTTCCTTTCTACATCTCATCAGTTTTTGTAAATGTTCATTAAGTCACAGGACTCCAGTAGCAAAAGCAACTGACATAATTAGGTTTGGTAATAAACTCATGGTACCATAGCGAAGAATAGAACTCAGTCCGTGGGAGAACTTCATGGACGTTGAAGCAAAGACACCAAGCCAAGGCTGGTGAGTGTGTCTTGGCATTGAACAATGCATTGCAGGAGGTGTGGTGTGTCTGTTAAGGTGAGGTCAGTGTCTTAGTTAGCTCAGGCTGCTGTGTAACCAAAATATCTTAGACTGAGTGGCTTAAACAACAGAAATTTATTTTGCACAGTTCTGGAGGATGGCTGTCTGAGGTCAGAATGCCTGCATGGTTGGGTTCTCATGAGGGCGCTTCCTCGTCCATAACTGACACTCTTCTTTTGGGGGAGGATGGGGAGAGAGAGAGGGAGAGGGAGAGAGAGAGATCCAGTCTAATCCCATTCATGAGGGCTCCACTGTGGGGGGGGGCTCTGCCCGCAAGGCCCCCCTAGCTGCTACAGATGAGAATAAGTCGACCAATACATGATCTGCTTGGGGAGGAAAGGTGGCTGATTTCTCACAGGAGAAGGACCAAGAGCCTTTTCCTCAATGGCTTTTATTGGGTTTGTTTACACAGGAATTCAGGTAAAGCTTGTTACTCATTACCAGGAAGTAAGGATCAAATAACAAGGAACTCTGAGGGCCTATTTTGAGATAGCTAAAGAGCTGTGAAAACTTTAAGGAACAAACTTACTTCTTCCCTGGACCCTTATCAGTTAATTGAGAGCATTCTAAACAAAGCAGGTTTCACAGGATTTTACATATTCTTTCTTAGGCCTGATCACCCGTGTAACCTGCCCTTTCCAGCACAGAGCTGCACCACCCTCTGTCATTGTTTCAGGCTTAGGTGGAGTAAGAGAAGTAAGGCAGCCAAGAGATTAGGAGATTTTCTCACAGACAATGAGGACTCAGGCTGTGTCAAAGCCGAGGGGTGAGGGTCCATTACCCCCTTTTGCTGTAGCCCCCAAAGTCCTTCCTTGGGGCCTCCCACGTGATTGTGCCTGTCATCGGCTGTTCCCCCCTTGGGGAATCTTACCTGTCATTGCCTAACCGACCAAGCATTGGGGGCCAGGCAGGGTGAAGTAAAAGGAGCAGAAGCAGTGCTCCTGCCAGGGAGATAAGCTTTTGTCTCCTTGGTGGCTTATGGTCTGAAGGTCACTCACTCAGCCTTAGCCTTGGCGGGGATTACAGCTTCTGATACCAGGCAGGGTGGTTCCCAGCACTCCACTGACATGACCAAACTATTACAGAATGGACCTGTGGTCAGGGACAAGATACTGTTACCAAATGGATCCCCCTCTCCCCCAAGGTCCCTCTGTAGTAGGTTTGCCTTGCCTACCACCCTTAGGAATTGGAATTATGGCTCTCAGTGCCAGAGTTTGGTGAAAAGGAAAGGAACCATTTATTCAAAAGTTATACAGACTTAGAGTAATGACTTAATGTCTTTGTTAAAATGTCAAAGTTCCTTAAAACACCCATACACAGTCCTTCCTTCCCCCCTTTGCCTAGTCAGGGGTACTGTATCTCAGGAAAAAAAAATAGCAGTCTGTGGCTCAGGCAGCCCCTGGTCCTTTCCAGTAACCTGTGCTCGGCTGGCAGGCCTCCCGTGGTTCCCAGCACCATCAGCTGTGTCGCCGCAATTGCTAGTTCTTAATCCAAACCCACGTGGCACCTCCTCATGGCCCACCAGCAAAAGTCCTTTCACCTCTTTTCTTTCTGCAATGTCTCCCTGCATTCTTCCAAACTGCTAAGAGAGAGCTCTGAATGACTGCTACATTTTGCTTTCCAGCTTCCTAAGCCCCATGGTTAAGGGAGCCCCCAAACCCTCCGTGGTTCGCCATAGGGCTGCCACACCTGGGTTTAAGTCCCGGCTTGAATCTTCCTCATCATCCCCATTTCTGACTCCTCCCACAATTGGCTACACCTGCCAGCATTCCCATATTTTTCCAGCTTTTCTGGGCTGCCATAGTAAGTCTGGGCAGGCGTGGCCCCATGGCATGGAGCAAACCAACTCCAAGGTCTCACACAGGCACTGCAACCAAGGGGAGCTGCCTCCCAGTTACAGCTTGGGTTGAAGTCACTCCCTTCTCCCTGGCTCAAAAGTGTGGCCACAGCTACTTAACATATCTATGAAACTAACCAGCCATTAGAGATATGTTAAATAACCATTTTTGCTGTTATTTGCAAAACTATTGATATGCAAAATAACTCTCAATGGTCCTGCTCCCTGTGTTCAATCACCCAGTTCAGACTTGTGGGGGTTAGGACATCTATATATATATTTAAAGATTTTATTTACTTATTTTTGGAGAGGGAAGGGAGGAAGATAGAGAGAGAGAGAGAGAGAGAGAGAGAGAGAGAGAGAGAGAAACATCAATGTGCGGTTGCTGAGGGTCATGGCCTGCAACCCAGGCATGTGCCCTGACTGGGAATCGAATCTGCGACACTTTGGTTCGCAGCCCGAGCTCAATCCACTGAGCTACGCCAGCCAGGGCGGACATCTATATATTTTTAATATTTACTGTATACCCCGAGTTCTGGACCTTGTTACAAATCTCTCTTTGAGGGGGCCCTGGCTGTGCCCTGTTATATAATTACCCATCTTCCAAAGAGCTCACCTCCAAATACCATCACACTGCCCTGGCCGGTAATGTACGCTCAGTTAGTTGGAATGTACATTAATTTTGTGGGCTCAATTCCTAGTCAGAGCACATACTTAGGTTGTGGGTTCCATTCCCCATCAGGGCAGGTATGGGAGGCAACCAACTGATGTTTCTCTCTCACACCTCCTTCTCCCTCTCCCTCTCTCTCTCTGCCCCCATCCTCTCTCTCAAATCAATAAACATATCCTCAGGTGAGAGTAAAAACAACAAACAAACAAACAAAACCCCCCAAATACCATCACACTGAGGTTTAATACTGGAGATTAGAGCTTCAGCATGTGAATTTTGATGAAGAACTATTCAGTCCATAGTGGATAGTAATAATCAGAAATCACAGTGACATCTAACATTTCTTGAGCACTTACTACGTGCCATGCACTGTGTAAAACTCTTTCTACACTTTATTCTATTTAAGCCTCACCTTATGAGGGAGATACTGTTGGCTACAAACAAGGAGACTGATTCTCAGAAGGGCTAAGCCATTTTTCCAGGATCACAGAGTGGTGGATCTGGGATTCAAAACAAAGTGAGGGGTGGGAGGGGATATCAGAGCCTGTGATGCCTTCCTCTAGGTGGAGGGAGGACGCCTCCGAGAGGGGCAGAACAGGAGGGACTAGAGTGGGTTAGTTAACGAACACTGAGGAAGCACCCACTACATGCCAGGCAGTGGGGAATAAGACCAGAGCACTATGTCCTAGTGGGAAAAACAGATGTTGAATAAATAAGCAGGGCAATAAGGGAAAATAAAATGGGACGGTGTGATCAACAGAGAGTGACTCAGAGAATGTGATGGTCAGGAAGGTGGCAGAATGACATGTAAATGGTGAGGAGTAGCTGGCTCTCTGAGGACCTGAGAGAAGAGCATCTTAGTCAAAGGGAGCAGCCAGTGCAATGGCCTTGGGGCAGGAGAGTATTGGTGTCCTCTGAGCAGCACTGAGCAAGCCAGTATGGCTGGAGTGGAGCGAGCAAGCAGGGAGAGTAAGGGGAGAGGAGGACAGAGGACTGCTCTGGAGGAGGCTGGGGCTGGAGGGACCAAAGAAGCTTCTGGAGTCAGTGGCCTGAAATGGCCTAAAAAAAATGGGTGGTTGAATGGGGTGAGGGGACAATGTTGCTCGCCACCCACACTCCTCAACCCATCTCTTCTCTCGGATTCTCTCTACTCAGGGATCTACTGGCCTTCCTGGTCCCCTGGGACCAATAGGAGAGAAAGGAAAGCGGGTGAGTCGTGATGGACAGGGAGATGGAAGGGCATACCTGGGGTCAACACCCGCGGCTGTGCATGATGGTGGGTGGGCCCCAGGTAACTGCGTCTACATTGGAGGCACTTGTGTGCACGCTTCTTTCCACGTGCAATGCAGGGCACACATAGGTGACCCTACCTGGCATTATGGCACAGGTGCCTATGTGTGCATGTGAGCATGTGTGTCCCATGTGCCTCTCAGTGCAGATTAGCTGGGGTCTGGGTGCTGCAGCTTGAGGACCTGTGACTGAGTGAACAGAGCATGAGCCTGTGCATGCATTGTGTGATGTGACACAAATACATGTGATGAGCATGTACACATGTGTGAAAGGATGTGACATACACACATGCATTTCTGTGTATACTGGGTGACTGTGTATGCATGCATTCATATCTGTGCTCTGTGTGCATTGTTGCTGTGTGAATGGACACTGTGTATATGCACACCAGTGGATATGTGTGCAGGACTGAGTTTTCACATAAATCCATGCATGTGTGTGTCTACATCGAGTACACATGTGTTCCAGGAACATATTACATGATAAGCTCCACGTGTCAGCCTGAGCCTGTTATGATGGCATGCAGTCATGTGTGCCTACTGCATAGCTGCAATACATAGGTGTCTACACGGGTGAACATGCTTGTATGTGTGGGTCCCATAGGTGCAATCAGACATGTCTGTGATCTTGGCATGGTTGAGTGTGTGTTTGAGTGAAAGACTTGTGAATAGATGGTGGTGGATATCTTTCTGTGTCTGTGACAGGGGGCCTTCGTGTCATGTGTTTGTACTGTAAGTCTCTTCTGCTACCCCCTCACCTGGTTTGTTTTCCAGGGGAAGGCAGGGCAGCCTGGTCTGGAGGGAGAGCGGGGACCACAAGTAAGAAAACAGAGAGCTTCTCCTACCCCACAGGGTCTTGGGGGGGAGCTGTGAGAGAAGAGTTGGGGAGTGAGCAAGGAAGAGGATTTGGGTTATGTTGATGTCCCTGGTGGGACAAGAGGGGGAGTCATGGAGGGCGGGGACCCAGAGGATTTGATCTCATATCCTAGGCTCCTCCACCCTCTCACTTCTAATCCTTGTTTCTTTTCTATTCAGGGCTCCCGTGGAGAGAGGGGGCAACCAGGTTCCACAGGGCAACCAGGCCCCAAGGTATGGGGTAGCGGGGTGCTCAAGCACCCGAGGCAGGCTCTCTGCCCAGGTTCACCAAGTCCCCACCAGCCCCTCCCAGTGGAGTGTGTTCTGCAGCCTGAATCTCATTCACTATGTCCTAGGGTGATGTAGGCCAGGATGGAGCCCCTGGGATCCCTGGAGAAAAGGTGAGTGCACGTATGTATATGTATGTGTGTGTATTTCTGGGTAGGAGACAAATCCAGGAAGTAGGGAGACATAACACAGTGGAAATAGCACCACCTCTGACATCAGAGCCATGAGTTAAAATCCTACCTCATCCACTTACCTGCTGTGTGACCTTGAGCAAATAACTTAACTTCTCTGGTTCTCAGTGGTGAATGAAATGAGTTCCATATGCTAGGCCCTGTGCCTAGTATGCAGAAGGTGATCAATATGTGCAAGCTCTTGTCGTTATGTGGGGTTCAGGGGGCTAGGTGGGAGGGATGAGTAATGACTTCTGGTTCCATTTCAGGGCCTCCCGGGGCTACAAGGGCCCCCTGGATTCCCTGGGCCAAAGGGCCCCCCTGTAAGTGAGCTCACCCTGATTGGGCAGTGGGTGGGAGCTGGGGAAGGAAGAGGCTCCTTATTTGTGCCTTGACTCTCTCCTGCCTTGTCCCTCAGGGCCCCCAGGGGAAAGATGGGCGACCTGGGCACCCTGGACAGAGAGGAGACTTGGTGAGTGACCCTTTGATCTTTGACCCCATTAGGCTCTCCATTTCTCCCCTTCCTCCACCCCATGTGACATCTTTTAATTTTTCTCCCCAGGGCTTTCAAGGTCAAACAGGCCCACCTGGTCCAGCTGGTGTTGTGGGTCCTCAGGTCAGAGTGGACTCTACAAGCTCCTCCAGTTCTGTACCAGTTGGGGGATATTTTGGGGGGTGTGGATCTCAGATAGACCCCCCCCCCAGACTACCTCTATTCAAGATGGGACTTCTTCCTCTCCAGGGAAAGACAGGAGAAGCAGGACCTCTAGGTGAGCGGGGGCCCCCAGGCCCTCCTGGACCTCCTGGTGAACAAGGTCTTCCAGGACTGGAGGGCAGAGAGGGGGCCAAGGTGAGACCCTGTCCTGTGGGGAATCTTGGCAGAGTGGCTCCATGGCTTCTCAGTGGCCCCAGGCCACCTGAAGGCTCAGAATTAGTCCCAAAGGGGAGGGGCCCAGACTTACAGATTTGGGGGAGACAACCCTTCCCTGGAGCCTGACCTTCCTCCTCTGTACTCCTGCAGGGGGAGCTGGGGCCAACGGGACCCTTTGGGAAGGAAGGACCACCTGGACCTAGGGGCTTCCCTGGCCCCAAAGGAGCCCCAGGGGACCCTGTGAGTATCCTTTGGGCCCTTTTGTGTCTGCTTGGCTGGGCTGTGAAGCAGAGAAGGGAATGGAGGCCTCAGGTCAGGGACATGGTGACAGCATCCTGGCTGGGGACAACCATGAAAGTAAAAGAATGACCTGGAGGAGACTGACCCCTGGACCTCAGTACCCAGAAGGGGGTGGGAACTGTGAGTCCCCCAAAGTGAAGACAGGACCTAGGCCACCTGTGGGAGTCTCTTGACTGAATTGTTTCCTCCTTCAGGGACCTATAGGTTTGAAGGGTGACAGAGGCCCCCCGGGCCCCATCGGGGCCAATGTAAGTGCAACCCCTTCTGCTGGGTGGGGAGCAGGGTGGAGGGACTTTGGGGTGTCTGGGAGGTCGGGCACTGTATTAAGTCCACTGTTTTGGGAGTCAAACAGGCCTGGGTCACATTCAGTTCTGTCACTCCTTGGTGGGCCTCAGTTTCCTCATCTGTATTATAGCCCCTCTCATAGGTTATCACTGAACTCCATGAGATGATCCCTCTGACACATGCTTATCTGCGTGACAGACAAGAACATATAAAACCTCCTTTCTCTTGGAGGTCGCGGTCTAGTTGGGGAGATGAGAAATCAGCAATGACGAATGTCCCAAAACAGGGCAGTGCAGAGAGAGGGGAGCAGGCGAAGAGCAGGTGAAATGGGCTGGTCAGTGAAGGCCTCCTGAGAAGGTGGCATTTGAGTTGAGACCTGAGGAGGTAAGGAAGGAATTGTGTGAATGTCTGGAGGAACAGCATTCCAGGTGGAGGGACACCATGTGCAAAGGTCCCGAGGCAGGACCATGCCTGGTTTATTGGAGGAAACAGCAAGGGGACCTATGTGGCTGGAGAGGAGTGAGCCAGAGTGAAAGTAGGAGGAAGCAAGGGCAGGGAGGGGTCGTGCTGGATCCGTGCTGGTAAATCACATGATTTCAGTGCCTGGCAGCTTGAAAACATTCCAGAAATGGGAACTACAACTACTCCTATTTTTCCTGACCCCGCACCCCTGTTTTCAGGGCTCCCCTGGGGAGCGTGGTCCTGTGGGCCCAGCAGGAGGCATTGGACTTCCTGGCCAAAGTGGAAGCCCAGGCCCTGTTGGCCCTGCAGGAGAGAAGGGGTCCCCGGTAAGTGGTCTGCCCACCCCATGCCACACGCCAGGCCCAATCCACATACCAGGACCCCATTCCTGCCCTAGTCTCTGACATCCCTCCTTCTACTCTCACATCAGGGTGAACGTGGTCCCCCTGGTCCCACTGGCCAAGATGGGATCCCAGGGCCCCTGGGGCTTCCAGGGCCCCCTGGAGCTGTTGGGCCTTCTGGGGAAGAAGGGTACAAGGTGAGCGTTCATGAAGAGGAAGGGGCTGGGGAAGGCTGTGGGTAGGGGGCCAGGGTCCTCCCTCATCCTGTTTCCTTTCCAGGGGGAGGTGGGCAGCCCTGGTCACAAGGGGAGCAAAGGCGATAAGGGGGATGCGGTGAGTGGGGGCCCTCCCTGGGGGATGGGTTCTCAGGGAGGGGAGAGGGATGTGGAGGATGGGTAGTCAGTCAGGGGGAGAAGTCAAGGAACTTCCTACCTTCCTGGGCCCCATCTTGATACCTACCTGCTAGTAACAGAAACCACTCAAATACCTGAAATGAAGGGACCAACAGAGTTGCTGGGGCCCCAGGAGACCAGGGAAGGTGCTGAGCCGGTTACTCTCTCCTCTCCCTCTTCTTGGTGTCACCTCGTTCTCTCTGCTGTCATTGCATGGCCCTGAGGCATCGCATCTCCAGCCTCCCTTTGGGAGTTCAGGCCCAGCCCCAGTATCGGTCCCTGGGTGCTGGTGGGACTTCTGGGGAAAAGTCCTGCTGGGCCAAGCTTAGGACAGATGTCTGTGTCTGATCCCGTCAGTTGGTGACTAGGAAGACAATATTGGGGGGTATTGTGCAGCTGTGGCTTGCTGGTGTGGGGATTGGGCAGGGGACAGTGATTGACATCTCTAGTTCCACCGCCCCGCACCTTGAACTTGAGGGGTTTTTCAACTCTGTTTGCTCCTCCAGGGCCCACCTGGACCAACAGGGATACGGGGTCCTGCGGGACACCCAGGTTCCCCGGTAGGTGCTCCTGGCTTTGTGGCCATTCCCTGGTTCCCCAGTGGAAAGGCACAGTGTCCTACACCTCAATTCAGTCCCAGACTCAATTCCAGCCCTATCCACTCCTCCATGCTGACACCCAGTGTGAACTCTGACTCAATCTAAGCCTCAGCCCCAACCCTGAACCCCAATTCACCCCTAATCTCAACCTTGCTTACAACTTTAACCTCACTCCCAGCTCAGTCCTTATCTTCAATTCCTGTGTTAGCCAGACCCTGGCCCACTCCTGCCATGACCTCAACCTTGACCCACCTCCAGTGCTGACCCAAAACCCCAGTTCAAGCTCTGAATCTGGTCTTGGCCCCAACCTTAAACCCAACCCTAAATTCCATCTCAGCCCTGTCTGAACCTTGCTCATGACCTTGACTTTCATCTGAACCTGACTTGCCACCCAGTGTCCATCTCAAACCTTTGACTAACCCTTGACTTCATTCCTAAGCTCTGACACTTAACCCAACCACCCCCCAACTCCAAACCTAACCCTGATTCTCCATAAACTTAATCCTAACCTCAACTCTAACCATCAACCTCACTCAGTTTTGACTTTGACCCTGAGCCTATTTCCAACCATTGACCTGAACCCTAACTTTCCCTGGCCCTCTCCTTCTTCCAGGGAGCAGATGGCGCTCAGGGACGCCGGGGACCCCCGGGCCTCTTTGGGCAGAAAGGAGATGATGGAGTGAGAGGCTTCGTGGGGGTGATTGGCCCCCGTGGCCTTCAGGTAGGTGTCTGAGTTTTGGGGTACAGCCTCTGGATCCCCTCACCCTTTGCCTTAATCTTGCCTCTTTGTTCCACAGGGACTGCCAGGCCCTCCTGGAGAAAAAGGGGAGGTCGGAGACGTGGGGTCCATGGTATGGAGAACAGGGGAGAAGATGGAAGGGAGAGAGGAGTGGCAGGGTGAGGGAGAACATTAGATTGACGTGGGGGGATCACAGGGCATATTGTCATTTTAAGGATTATGCAAGTCACAAGCATCAAGGGTAGTGTTTTGGGGGGCATGGGGTCACTTGATGCTTTTCTGACTGTTCCACAGGGTCCCCCTGGAGCTCCAGGTCCTCGGGGTCCCCCTGGCCCTAGTGGATCAGAGGTGAGGATTCTGAGGCTGGGGGAAGGGCTTCAGAGGTGGGGACATCTGTTTCCCAAGAAGGGGAGGTTGGGATCCCACATTCCCCCCTCTGCCCCTCGCTGTCTTCTCAGGGCTCCCCAGGGCCACCTGGAGGAATTGGTCAGCCAGGCGCTGTGGGCGAGAAGGTGAGAGAGGGCCTCAGACCACACAGGCTGGGGGAAACTCCACCAGTCCTGATTGGGGGTGGCTGTTCGGGGGAGCCTCTTGTCTGCCAGGATCAAACCTCTGCTCCCCCTGACCCCACTTTGCCTCCTTTAGGGTGAGCCAGGGGAGGCTGGAGATCCCGGACCCCCAGGAGTCCCAGGCATCCTTGTGAGTGACTGTGTCCTGAATCCCTGCACCCATCTCAGGGAACCCCTTGCCTCTGGGCATCTCAGGCCACCTTGACCTCTGGGCAGTCCTAGGTCACCCGCTGACCCAGAACCTATGGACATCCTGGGTCATTTTGATGACAGAGCCTTAGAATGTGTCACTGCTACATACAGTTCTCCAGGTTGCACACACACTGCACAAGGGTGTGGAACTGAGCAGGTAGATGAGGCTCAGATCCAACGTGAGCCCTGAGCTGGGAATCAGGTGCCCACAGGGGACCCCTTTTCTAATTCACTCAAGGGTGGCACACAGGCTCGACCCACCTTGCCCATGACCTCTAGACAAATGGTCCATCCTGATCCCTGACTCTTATAAGTTCTAGATACCTTTGACTTCTTACCCTTGGGCAGTCTAGGCTACTCTGACCCCTGACGCCAGGAAAGTCCCAGACCACCCAGATTCCTAAATCCAGGTATGTTACCTTGACTCCTGGACAGTCCAAGCTCTTCTGACTTCTGACTTATGTTTCTGCAAAGGGGCCCAAGGGAGAAGTTGGTGAAAAGGGGGACTCAGGCCCATCTGGGGCTGCAGGACCCCCAGGCAAGAAGGGCCCCCCTGGGGAGGATGGAGCCAAAGGGAACGTGGTGAGTCCTGGGGAAGGTGCGGGCAGAGATGGGGGAGGCAGTCGTGTCTACTCAAACCTGCTCCTGGACTTCCAGGAGGTGCCCCGTCCTCCAGTGTGCTGATTCCATGAGCCTCCCAGAACATGGCTGAATGAATGATGCTTGATTGAATGAATGGATGAATGAATGAATCAATGTGGAAACACAGTGATTATACGTCATTGTGGGAGTGAACCTTGCTTCCACATGGGACCGTTCTAATGATGTTGGGAATGACAAGGTCGAGATTGGCGCTGATGTGGGGTTTGCCACTGGGCAGAGATTGAGGCTCTCCTGCCATCTCGGGGGGTGGGGCTCCAGTTGGGGTGGCAGGGCAGTGAGCAGCTTCGGTCTGTGGGACCACTCCACCACTGCAGTGTCTCTCTGGGTCAGTTCTATCTGTGAGTCCAGAGCTGGGAGGCTGCTGGGAGGACAGTGAGGTGATGCACATAAGGTTCTTAGCTTAGCACTGCACACACTGAACACTGGAGTGTTCTCTTTACCGGGATGGGGATTTTGTGGTTTGTTCATTGTGTAACCCAGGAACCAGAACTGTGCCTGGGCAACATTTATCTGTTAACTGAATGAATGAATGTGCAATGGTTCCGGGATGTGATTGTTCACCCTTCTGTGTTCCAGGGCCCCACAGGGCTCCCAGGAGATCCAGGACCCCCTGGAGACCCTGGAGTTTCGGTGGGTGTGAGCCCCCCTCCTTCCCCCACCGAGCCCATCATATTTTCTTAATTCCCCATTCCAGTTGCCCCCATAGGCCCCCCTCACCTCCCAAAGACCTGGTGTCCCAATTTCCCTACCCCTATACACCTGGCTAAGGTCATTGGAACAAATAACCCTCATTATCCTCACCCCCAAATTCTCATGTACCCCATGTTGCCTCCCAACTCTGTCCCCTGCCGCCTCAGGGTCTAGATGGTTCTCCAGGGGAGAAAGGAGACCCTGGTGACGTTGGAGGACCGGTGAGTGAGGAAACGGAGGATGGCGGTGCTGGGAGGGGGTGGGGGCCAGTGAGTGGGTGAACTGGGGGGACAGAGGCGTGGGTTCATGAGGCACCCAGGGCCTCTGTGGGTGTGCCTGCTTTGCTTCTCTGGGGTCTCACTATGCATGTGAGCAGCCTGAGGGAGGGGCAGGTGATGGCTGGTGCTGGGTGGTGTCTGGGGGAGGCTGTCTTTGGGTCAGAGGCCTCCTGATACAGTCACAGTCAATCGACATTAGCTGATTCCACCCCGCTGCTGTTGCAATCTCCACAGGGCCCACCTGGAGCTTCCGGGGAGCCTGGCCCCCCTGGGCCCCCTGGCAAGAGGGTGAGTGATGACCTGCCTCTGGGCTGTCCTGGCTGCCCGGCTCCAACCTTGTCCCACTCACCCCTATAGGCCCCCACTCACATGACCCCACCATTCATTCCCAAAGGGCCCCCTTAACTGTCTTGCCCTTCTCAGGGTCCTCCTGGTCACATGGGACGAGAAGGTAGAGAAGGGGAGAAAGGTGCCAAGGTGAGTGCCTTGTTCACGGAGGCGTCCCTGCCCTGACCCCTCAGCCAACAGCTGGGTCATCAGAATGGGGAGGGGCCCTGTGACCACCACCAGTGTGCCAATTTTCTCCCCCTCCCTGAAAGTTCTTGGTTAGGGGGTCAGGAGGCAGGCATGCCCTGACTCTCGGCCCCCTCCCTTGGCCCTGTCCACTCTAGGGGGAGCCAGGTCCTGACGGGCCCATAGGGAGAACAGGTCCTGTCGGGGCTCGAGGGCCCCCTGGGCGTGTTGGGCCTGAGGGTCTTCGGGGGATCCCTGGCCCTGTGGTGAGTGGGGCGAGAACAGGGGTGGGGTGGGGGTGGGATCAGGCCCTCCCTGTGTGCTCACACTTTATAATTTCTCATTACAGTTGGGAGGGACTGATCCTGGTGGGGAGGGGATGGTCCTGGTAGGGGGAGGGGCAGCCACACTGCATTCTGGCAGGGTGTGGTCCTCCAATGTTCTGTTGCATCCCAGGGTGAACCAGGCCTCCTGGGACCTCCTGGACAGATGGGCCCTCCTGGCCCCATGGTAAGAGACTTCTTTGTCTCTGAGGCCCTGGCACTGAGCCCCATGTGGCGTGACCCTGGTGCTGATGGTCTGGCTGATCCCTCACTATCCGAAGGTCTACCCTGACCATGTGTGTTTTCTATTCTGACCACTCATCTTGGTGATCTGTACTGGCCAGCCACACCGACCCTCCATGTTGATGGTCTACACCAACCACAGTGGCCCTCTTAAACAGGCCAACCTGACCATTAGCCTTGGTAGTCCTCACTGATCACCACTCTGATCCTCCCCACTGAGTATTCGTATTAGCCATTCTCCAGCCCACCCCTCCATTACCCCTCGCCATCCCCCTCTCTCCTGACCATCCCCATGATCATATCCTTGCTAATGCCCCTTTGAAACCTGGGAAATTTTTCATTTTACCACCTCCCAATCACCCACATGGGCCTGGAGATTTTACGTCTGAGCCTCACCAGCTGACTCTCCCTCTCCTTCCAGGGACCCTCCGGCCTCCCAGGGCTGAAGGGAGAGGCTGGCCTCAAGGGGGAAAAGGTGAGGAGACCTCCTTCCATTAGTCCCTCCCTCGCTGATCTCCCTTTCCTCCCCAGCAGAGCTGGGAGACTGAGGTCTCCTTTGCCCCCAGATGCACTGCCCCAGGGCTCTAGGAGGAAACCCTCCCAGCACCCCCTCTCTTCCCCCACGCACGCCTCTCTTGTCCTCCAGGGCCACATCGGACTAATTGGCCTCATCGGCCCCCCTGGAGAGGCTGGCGAGAAAGGGGACCAGGGGCTGCCAGGCGTGCAGGGCCCTCCTGGCCCCAAGGGAGAGCCCGTGAGTGTGTGTCCTGCCCCGGGCGGGGAGACTGTGTTCGAAGGAGGGGTGGGTGGGGTGGCAGAGATGGGCTGGTTCGCAGACTGGGGGGGTCAGGGAAGACTGGGTCTGGAACAATAGGGGTTTGTCTAGGGAAAACGGGGGATCTCTCTGGGGGCTTGAGGGCTGGAGGCTGTGTCTTGAGGGGACTGGAGGCTTTTCCGAACCATAGAGATGAACCCCATCAATAATGACCCTGATGTCCTCTCTCCAGGGTCCCCCTGGTCCCATTGGCCCTTCAGGCCACCCTGGGCCCCCAGGCGTGGCGGTGAGTATGAGGGGTCTGTGAGGTGGGGGTCACCGTGGTGAGCCAGCCAGGAGTCCATTCTCTCTGTCTCTACCCCGCAGGGCCCTCTGGGACAGAAGGGCTCGAAGGGGGTGCCGGTGAGTCCTCCCTGTTCTCTTGGGCTCCCCCATTTGAGCTCCCTACCCGCCTCCACTGCACTGAGCCCTCGATGCCTTGGCATTCATTCACTTATTTAGTCATTCAATCACACATTCAACAAATATTTACCCAACACCTACCATTGTATTTCACGAAACCTGAGATGCCATCAGTTGTAAGATGCACCATTACTTTATAAACCTCGGAGAAAGAAAACAGTTCTGCCAAGTAAACTATGACTTGCCAAAGATGTTAAGATGCTGGTTTCAGAGATGCTAAAATATGGAAAGAAGATGAATGTGTGTTTTATGCTTGGTGCTGAAAATCGCTGCCCCCTGCCCCCCACCCAGGGCTTTGTGTGTTTCTGAGTGCGTGCAGGTGTTGGTGGTGGTAGTGTGTGTGGGGTGTCTCCATAGACAGAGAACACCCCCAACTGACTTCTCCCTGCAGGGATCCCTCGGCCCCCGTGGAGACCCAGGCCCCCCAGGCCCCCCAGGCCCCCCGGTAAGTTCCCCAGGGCCTAAGGTTGAAGTGCCCCCAAAGGGTCCCCCAGCACTCAGAACCAGGTGGGGCGCACACCAGCTGTTCAGGGGATGCAGGTGAAGAGGGACCTGGGCTGGGGGGTGGGGATCATGGGGGACACCCGTGGGGCACTGACTGGCTGTCTCTCCACCCTGGCTTCTCCCCCTTGTCTGTCCCTCCCTGTCTCTCTCTCCACCTCTTCTGACTCGCCTGGCCTTTCTCCATCTCTGTCTCCAATATTTGTTCCACTATTTTATGTTTTTTTTTCTTTCTTCTCTCTGTTTCTGCTTTCTTTGTCTGACCTTGTGGTTCACTCTCTTTCATCGTCTTCGTACTTCTCTCCCTCCCTCTCTCTGCGTCTTCTGTCTCTGCCCTTCCTGCGTGTCTCTCTGTCTCCATCTCCCCGTCCCTGTCCCTGTCTCTGTGCCCGTGCGTATCTCTCCCTCCCCGTTCTCATCTCTCCGCCCCCCTCTCTCTGCCTTCCACATCGCTCTCCTTTCTGCCTGGCTCTCTCGCCTCTCCTCCGCCCTGGTCTCTGCTCAGGGTTCCCCTGCGGAGCTGCATGGGCTGCGCCGGCGGCGGCGCTCCGTCCCGGGCAGGGGAGTGCTGGAGGCCCCGGAGGGCGGCCTGGAGGAGGTACTGGCTTCTCTCCTGTCGCTGAGCTTTGAGCTGGAGCAGATGCGGCGCCCTCCCGGCACCGCGGAGCGCCCGGGTCTTGTGTGCGGCGAACTACACCGCAACCACCCGCACCTGCCAGATGGTGAGGTCCTGCCCTTCCCCCGGCGGGCGGGGAACCGTGGGGTTCCGCGCCCCCTCACCCACCCCGCCTGGCTCTGCGGCAGGGGAATACTGGATTGACCCCAACCAGGGCTGCGCGCGAGACGCGCTCAGGGTTTTCTGCAACTTCACGGCAGGAGGAGAGACCTGCCTCTACCCCGACAAAAAGTTTGAGACCGTGAGTGCCTCTGGGGGCCGTTGGTGGGAGGAGAAACGGGGCTCTGGACACCATCCCATCCTCCCACCCCGCAGGAAAGGCGGTTCCCGCCTTCCCCGCCCCCAACACACGCCCCTGGCTTTGTCCGGGACCTTATCCTTCCTGCAGCCAACATTTATTGAGCATCTACTGTATGCCAAGTGCTGGGGTTACAGCCGAAAAAAAATTTTTTCTGCATTTATGGAGCTTGCCTTCTCAGAGGAAGAGAGGCAAGAAAAACTAGTAAAGAAATCACGAATGGTGACGAACCTTTAAGTAGTGCCTACATGTGCCAGGCCCGTTCCAGTAACTTAGGTGCATTTCCCTACTGAGCCCTAACCACCAGATGTGGTAGCTCTGCCATCCCTCAGACAGGGAAACTGAGGCACAGAGAGGTGATGAGATCACCCAGTGCAGCGTGCCTTCGGAGTTCCAGCCTTTAACCACCCGGCCGCCTACCTCCTGACTTGCTTACTATCTTATAGGCCTGGTGGGCTGGCTGAGCTCCAGGCTGCAAGCTGAGAGGTGAGGTCACCTGGCCCCCAGAAATCCTGGGGTTCTCCAGCAGGGAGTCCTGAGACTAACAGTCTCACACAAAGCACCAGGCATAGCAGTGGAGGGCAGTGGGTGGGCAGCACCTGCTCTGCACCAGCTGGGCTGGAATCCAGGTCTGTCACCTCGGTGTTTTAATCTGTGAAGTGGGGCTCAAGCAAGTGTCTGCCCCTAGGGTGGTTGTGCAGTTGCCGTGCCAATGTGCGCACCAAGAAACACCGACTAAACACTGGCTATGTGCTAATGTCTCGACTGCAGGTAACATACACGGCCAGTACAGGGCCTGCAAAAATGCATAAGAATGTTCTTCTGATACATTATTATTATTTTTAACTGTCAGAGCCCTGGTTTAGTGAGTACTCAGACCCCCTCATGCATGCGGGCTGGATGCAGAACTTGATCTCTAAGCAGGTGCTGACATCCGAGGTCTGGTCCCTCATCAGCTCACCTTCCTCCTGCTCCGACAGAAGTTGGGGAGGGAAGTGAGGAAGGTTCTAGGTTTGGGTTCCCCAGATTTCAGGCAAGTCATTTATTTAGGAGGTAATCCCAGGAGACACCAGGAGGGGAAAGGGGGATGTGAGAAGGATCGAGAGAGGCAGCTAGTATTGTTAAAATGTCACCATTGGGCACCCAAGGCTCTGCTCCCCTGAGGACTTCTGGGAGGCAGTGTGGAACACACACCTGGAAGTTGTCCGACCTGGGAAGAGAGGAAGCTGGGGCATTTATCCACCAACTCTTGTCAGCCACCAAATGAGGGCTGCCTCAGAGGACTGGGTCCCCTCCCCGTGGGCCTGCCCCATGCACCAGCCAAGCCCACTGCCCTGGCCAGCCGGCAGCCTGAGTGTCCTGGATGTTTACAACCTGCAGCCTTCATTGATGGGAGGTAAATGCAGAAAGGACCTGGTGGGCATCTGCTACTGACCCTCCCTCTCTCTGCAGGTGAAACTGGCTTCCTGGTCCAGGGAAAAGCCGGGAAGCTGGTATAGCACATTCCGTCGAGGGAAGAAGGTGAGTTGCTGAAGGCGAAGTGGCAGATGGTTTGAAAAGCTGTGGGAACCATTGAAGAGGTTGGGAGAGGGGCTTGGAGGGGTGAGCTGAACAGGACAAGTCTACCAACTGGGGAAGGGAGGGTGAGTGGGGCAGTGCCAGACGTGTGATGGGGGAAGCAGGAGGCATGGTGGAAATCCAGAAGCAGTGCTGGAAGGACCTGCTAGAAGTCCCAGCTTAGCTAAGGCCTAAAGAGTGAGTTGGGTTAGCAAGTCTAAGAGGACAAGAAAAAGAGTTGGAAGCAGAGGGAACAGCAGTTGCAAAGGCTTAGAGTCAAGAGAGGGTGTGGTGAATTTAGAGAAGAAAAAGCCACTTTCTCTGCTTTAGAGAGTAAAAGGGGGAATGTGGTTAGAGAAGAGGCTGGGGAGGTAGGTGAAAGCTAGGCCCATCTCTCCAGAAAGACAGAAGGCAGTGAAGAGCTGTGGCCTGTGTTTAAAGTGAGGGAGGGTGCAGATCAAATCCTGTGTTAGAAAAATGCCTCTGGGGCTGCTGCTGTTGGTGGGGGTGAGACTGGAGGCTGGGAGGCCAGGGAGAGACGGATGTGCTGGTCCAGGAGAGTGAGGAGGGGTCCAGGCTGGAGCGGTGCTATGGGGAGAGACAGGAAGGCATGACTTGGAAAAATACCAATGAAGGCAAGTTAATAGGACTTAGTGATTGATGAGATGGAGGGGAGGGAGGAGACAGGCATGATGCCCAGGTTCCTGGCTTGGGAAACTGGCATCTGGTGAGATACATAAATTTCTCAGAGGAGATACGTAAATGAGAAGATCGGGTTTTAGGGGCAGGGGATCTTGGGCTCCATTTGGGACTTTTTTGTGAAACATGTATGTATGTGCTAAGCACTGGAAGCATAGCAGCAAGTTAAACACAGTTCTTGACTTCATGAAGCTGATATTCTACTGGGAATATAACGAAGGAAACAGCAGACTAAGGAAACAAATAAAGCTTTACTATAATGTAAGGGAGTATCTTGGTTTGGATTCCCTCCAAAGAGACCCTGAGACACAGATTCAAATGCAAGTAGTTTATCGAGGAGGCGAGTGCAGAAACCACGAGTCGGGGAACGTGGAAATGAGGCAGGAGAAGGAAGGAAGCCGGAGGACGCATTACCGAGCACGCCGTCTCAAGCCAGTGCTGTGTTAATAATATACTTTACTTAAGTGTATACTTTACTTAAGTGTATTATTAGGTCCGAAATGTCGGCATAGCAGTATAAAGGTTACTTTTTACATTTTTTCCATGCATGTTTTTCAGAGTCTGGTACAAAGCTACATTTACAGGACTATATCTAGAAGCTAAATTTCATTGAAAATACTTAGATTTCATAAAACCTGCAGTTGGAAAAGTAGGTTCACATACCCCATTTGTCCCAAACCTAAGTTTTCTGATAACTGAGTGGAGACTAAGTTATGAGTTGTGAGTGTAAGTAAAAAGTTTGAATTAAATAATTAAATAAAAAAAATAAAATTAAACAAATAAAGTTTCAAAAAAGTTTCTCAGTTGCATCAGGCGCATTTTAAGTGCTCAGTAGCCACACGTGCCTGGGGCTCACAGGAGAACCATGGTCGGCTGGATGGGGCCCCTCACCTCCCGCTCTGTCCAACCCCCAGTTCTCCTACGTGGATGCTGATGGGTCCCCGGTGAACGTGGTACAGTTGACCTTTCTGAAGTTGCTGAGCGCCACAGCCCGCCAGAGCTTTACCTACTCCTGCCAGAACGCCGCTGCCTGGCTGGATGAAGCTGCTGGCGACCATGGCCGCTCCCTTCGCTTCCTTGGGACCAATGGAGAGGAACTGTCCTTCAACCAGACAGCAGCAGCTACCGTCACTGTCCCCTATGATGGCTGCCGGGTAAGGCAGAGGGGCAGGGGTGACCAGAGCAGGGAGGGGAGGCCTCAGCTGCCCTCCGCCTAACTCCCCATTGGTGTCTTTCCATGGTCAGCTCCGGAAGGGACAGGCGAAGACCCTCTTGGAGTTCAGCTCTTCCCGAGCGGGGTTTCTGCCCCTATGGGACCTGGCGGCCACTGACTTTGGCCAGACGAACCAGAAGTTTGGGTTTGAACTGGGCCCTGTCTGCTTTAGCAGCTGAGAAGTCTTGAGGGTGGGCGGGACCATGAGGAAGCCCCAGATGGGGCACATTTGGTGCTGAGGCTTTGAAGCCACCCTATTTATCATCTCCTGTGACTGAGGAGCCAGGGGAAAGTCTGCTCAGCATGGTCCAACAATGCTCCTTCTCCATCCCAGGGGACTGTGGCAGGACTCCATGGACCCAAGAGTCCAGCCTCCCTGCTGGAACCGCACCCCTGCTGGAACGAATGTAGTCTGCCTCTTTCTCCCCTCCACGCCCATTCAATCTGCACCTGCCCACCCCCGATCGCCCAGGCAATGAACTCATTCACAGCTGATGGCTGCCCCCCATGCCTGCCTTCCCTTCCTCAGTCAGTGCCCCCAACAGCCTTTGGTGCTACCCTTCCCAATAGTTAAGCACTGGACGTCTCCTGATCCCAGGCTGAGACCCTTCACTCATTCCTGTTTTCAGGTGGGTTCAGAGTGAAGGAACTGAAGTCAGACTACAGAGGGAAGTGAGACTTCCCTGGACTGAGTTGTGTGTTCCTTTGGCTACTTTAGCCCAGCTCTGAATACTGGCCCCCTCATATCTGCCCTAGTGTACCTTACCATGCCAGGTGGTTTGGAGGCCAAGATATGGGGTAAATCAGGATCCTAATGGTGCTGCCCTATTTATATCTGGGTCTGTATTAAAAGGGAAAATCCCCCCTGTTGTGTATTTAATCTGCTTCCTCCTTACAGAAGGCTGGGACATGATGAAAGAGATTCTAGCTTGACCCCCTACCCACCCCAGGGCATAATGGGCATCTCGAGTCTGAGAATAAACCAGTGAACTGTGTCCCAGTCTGTGTCCTTCATCTTGTGTTGGCTGCATTGTTCTTAGGGTCTGGTGCTTGTCTCACCTGAAGTATTGTCACAGCCTATTTTAAGTAAGTGTGCTCTTGGGTGAAGTTGACTTAGGGGCTGGGGGAACCCACTTGTAATGGGTTGAAAATAGCCAGATCTCTAAGAGAGAAGGGAAGGAAGGAAGGCAGGCAGGCAGAAAGAAAGAGCAGATCTCCATGTCGATCTTGATTAGTATTGGAGACAATGGCTGAGCTGAAGGATGCATCAAGAGATGACAGGATGTGGTTTGGATTTGAGATGAAATGACTAGGTGTCAAAGGTCTGGGTGGCAAGTCAGGGGATGAGTTGGAGATGAAGAGAATTGAATTAGGAGTTAAGCCTTGAAATGAGTTTGGGGTTGGTGAAGCGTATCCTGGCCTGCAGGATCCGTGTGTGTTGTTGCTGCTAGAGAACAAATACACACGGACTACAGAAGTCCTGTGGAGAAAAAGGGGCGGCATGGCCACTCTCTGAGAGAGAGAGGGGGTGAGAGGCCCCAGTCCCTGCCTAGACAGGCTTTTATTGTTTTCCTGGGTACATTACATGGAGGGCAGTCCTCATTTACTATGCACAGGTTCACTTCAGGGGACTACCTTTTACAGATAACAAAGGAAAGAATGTTGCTAATTACTTCAAAGAGAAGGATGTTGCAGACCAAGGGAAAAAGTAGTTGAACCAGTCACACTCCATGCTTGGAGGTTTAGCATAGACTTTAGAAAGTTATAGTAAGCACTTGCTGCCTCAATTCAGGGTGAGGGAGTTTTAGCAAAAGCAAATCTCATAGCAGCCTAGGCACAATGCAGGCCTGATTCCCCACGGGACAACCTCCCCGAGGGCATGGTCCTCCAGGCCACTCTCTCCCCACTGGTTTTCCATGGGAGTGCTGAGCTACATTTCCACACCACGTGAAGCGGTTCCCTACAGGTTGGCAGTTAGGGGTTGGGTGAGTTTCTATGAAAATACTTGTCGGTTGAAGTTGAGTTGAATTGGAGGTTGGTTTGGAGTGAGTTTGGGGTTGTGAATTAATGATGGGATCTGTTGAGTTGGAGGATGGACAATGAATGGATTGAATTAAGGGTTTGGAATTGGATGTTGGGTTAAATTAAATTAGGGTCGATTTGAGATGTAGGATGAGCCAAGTAGAGATAAGTTGTGGTTGTTATGAACAGGCAGTGGGAATTGTCAGGATTGAGCTGGGGGTTTGATGTTGAGTTGAGTGTGTGTGGGGTTTTTACAATTTTAGCCCTGGCTGGTGTAGCTCACTGGATTGAGCATGGGCTGCAAACCAAAGGGCCATGGTTCGATTTCCAGTCAGGGTACATGCTTGCCCTGACAGGGGCCAGGTCCCCAGTAGGGGCCAGATTCCCAGTAGCGGGTGAGCAAGAGGAAACCACACATTGATGTTTCTCTTCCTCTTTTTCTCCTTCCCTTCCCCTCTCTAACAATAAATAAATAAAATCTTTCTAAAAATGTAAAAAAAAAAAGGGTTTTAAAAAAAGATTTTATTTATTAATAGTTAGAGAGGGGAAGGGAGGGAGCAAGAGAGGGAGAGAAACATCCCCTACTGAGGGCCTTGCTCACATCCCAAGCATGTGCCCTAAACTGGGCATCAAGCTGGCGACCCCTCAGTTCACAGGCCAGCACTCAATCCACTGAGCCGCACCAGCTAGGGCAGGTTGAGGTATTTTTTTAAACAAATTTATTGAGGTATAATTCAATACCATATAATTCTCTCATTTGAATTATACAATTAAATGGTTTTTGGCACATTTGCAGACTTGTGCAATCACTACCACAATTTTAGAACATTCCTATCACCTCAAAAGAAATCCATATCCATTTGCAGTCACTCTCTATGCCCCTCAACCTCTCAGCAGTAGGCAAACCACTAATTTTTCTGTCTCTATGAATTTGCCTATTTTGAACACTTCATATAAATGGAGTCTTACAGTATATGGCCCTTTGTGTGTGGCTCCTTTCATTTAGCATAATAGTTTCAAGGTTCATTCTGTAGTATGCATTAATACTTTGTTCCTTTTTTAAAAAATATTTTTTCCAAATATTTAGCATTTTTGGTGATCTTCATTCTTTCTAGTAGAGCTGAATTTTCTTAAAACTTTTTTTTATAAAGATTGTATTTATTTATTTATTTATTTTTAGAGAGAGAGGACAGGGGGGAAAAAGAGAGGGAGAAAAGTAGCACTGTGTGGTTGCCTGGTTGCCCCAGGCCGCACTGGGGACCTGGCCTGCAACCCAGGCATGTGCCCTGACTGGGAATTGAACCAAGGACCCTTTGGTTCGCAGGTTGGCACTCAATCCACTGAGCCACACCAGCCAGGGCTCTTTGCTTTTAATATATTTTATTGATTATGCTATTACAGTTTTCCCATTGTTTTCTCCCCTTTGTTCCACTCCACCCTTCACCCCCTTCCACCAGCATTTCCCCAGCTTGGTTCATGTCCATAGGTCATACATATAAGTTCTTTGGCTTTTTCATTTCCCGTGCTATTCTTAACCTTTCCCTGTCTATTTTGTACCTACCATTTGTGCTTCTTATTCCCTGTACCTTTCCCCCATTCTTCCCCCTCACCCTCCCTGCTGATAACCCTCCATGTGATTTCCATGTCTGTGATTCTGTTCCTGTTCTAGTTGTTTGCTTAGTATTTTTTTTTTTAGGTTCAGTTGTTGATAGTTATGAGTTTCTTGTCATTTTACTGTTCATATTTTTTATCTTCTTCTTTTTCTTAGATGAATTCCTTTAACATTTCATAATGTTAAAGGACTTGTTGATGATGAACTCCTTTAACTTGACCTTATCTGAGAAGCACTTTATCTGCCCTCCCACTCTAAATGATAGCTTTGCTGGATAGAGTAATCTTGGATGTAGGTCCTTGCCTTTCATGATTTGAGTACTTCTTTCCAGCCTTTTCTTGTCTGCAAGTTTTCTTTTGAGAAATCAGCTGACAGTGTTATGGGAACTCGTTTGTAGGTAACTATCTCCTTTTCTCTTGCTGCTTTTAAGATTCTCTCCTTATCTTTAATCTTTGGTAATGTAATTATGATGTGCTTTGGTGTGTGCTTCCTTGAGTCCAACTTCTTTGGGACTCTCTGAGCTTCCTGGAAGTCTCTTTCCTTTGCCAGATTAGGGAAGTTCTCCTTTATTATTTTTTCAAATAAGTTTTCAATTTCTTCTGTTCCTCTTCTCTTTCTGGCACCCCTATGATTTGGATGTTGGAATGTTTAAAGTTGTCCTGGAGGTTCCTAAGCCTCTCCTCATTTTTTTTGAATTCTTGTTTGTTCATTCTGTTCTAGTTGAGCATTTATTTCTTCCTTCTGGTCCAAATCATTGATTTGAGGCCTGGTTTCCTTCCCATCATTGTTGGTTCCCTGTACATTTTGCTTTATTTCACTTTGCATAACCTTCACTTCTTCCTCTATTTTGTGACTATACTCAACAATTTCTGTGAGCATCCTGATTACCAGTGTTTTGAACTCTGCATCTGGTAAGTTGGCTATGTCTTTATCACATAGTTCTATTTTTGGATCTTTGATCTGTTCTTTCATTTGGACTATATATATATATATATATATATTTTTGTCTCAGCAAGTCTGTTACCATAGGAAGGGGTGGAACCTTAGGTATTCATCAGGGCCTGGCAACCCTTACTACTTTGTTGTGGCACTGTTTGTGGGGGAGGGATCTGAGAGGGAACAATGCTGCTTGCTTGGCTCTTGGCTGGCATTCAGTCACTTCCCCTGCTACCCACAAGCACATTGGACCCTTTTGGTGTTTATTTTCAGGTGGGAGGGTTTGTGTACATTCTAGGACCCTGTGGTCTCTCCAGTGAACTCTCCTATGAGGCTGGGTGTTTCTCCCACTGCTGCAACTACCACAGATTTTTACAGTCAGAGGTTTTAAGACTTTATTTCCCTCATGCTGGAACACTGAGTTGCGTAGTCTGTCTTGCTCCCCAGTTGTTCCTCCTGATTTATTTGCATGCAAATGTGGGACCACCTGGTCTTCCAGCCACCGGATCCTCTCTGCCCTGGCTGCCCATCTTGCCCCTCCTACCAGTCTGGATGAATGTTTCTCCTTTAACTCCTTGGTTATCGGATTTCCATAGAGTTTGATTTTCTGGCAGTTTTGGTAAATATTTTGTTTTTAAATTTGTTGCTGTCCTTCTTTTGGTTGTTCAAGGAGGCAAAGTATGTTTACCTATGACTCCATCTTGGCTGGAAGTCCCTGAATTTTCATATGGTATCCTTTATTACTTTTATTGTTGAATATTTCATTGTCTAGATATACCCATTCATCAGTTGATGGAGATTGTTGAGCTGAGGTAGTAGTGATGGAGGGCATGTGTGTTGAGTTGGATCAGGTTGGGTAGGGTGCATAGAGGTTGTCGGTTGGGGTGAGTGCTTCCCCCAAACCCAGAGCTTACCCTCCTACTCCTGTCATCAGGCTCCTTAAGGCCACCCAAATATTTGTCTTGGATTCCCTTATTCAATAAATGTCACTAAGAGTCTTACCACCATGAAGAATGTTGATGTCTGAAGGTGGATTGATGAGTTCACTCATTCACTCACATATTCATTTGTTTCATTCTATTGAGTGTTTACTCAGTGTCCAAATGCTGAGGATAGAAGAGTGATAGGCAGTCTGCCCTCCAAGTCTTACTCCTGAGGGAGATGATAATACTATATAAATGTGACTTCAGGTAGTAGTGCTTGTTGTGAAGGAAAATCGAACAAGTTATGTGGCTAGAGAGTGATGGGGTGGGAGGGTATTTAAAATAGTGTGATTAGGAGAGGCTTTATTGAGGAGGTGACATTTGAGCAGAGACATGAAGGATGTAGGGAAGAACCATGTGGAGTCTTGAGGAAGTGTGCCACGTACAGTGAAGAACCCAGAAACCCTCAAATACCCATGGGAGCTCTTGAGTGGATGGTGTT